CTGCTCCTCCATTCTTCTCTCAGGATTTTGAGCATACACACACACACACACACACACACACACACAGAGAGCATGATTTTCAAGTCACCAGCTCCGGGATTTGAACTGCAGTCAGTCATGTGGGAGTCCAGTGCTTTAACCATCAAGCTACCTGCTGTCCGCAAAGATATCCTCATTCTTGCAAGCAACTATCCTCAAGTAGCAGAAAGTGACCAGTAGTCTCAAAGCTGCCCTTGGATGCTAACTCCTGGCCCTTTCTTAGTTTTCTACCTCGCATTGACTCTCCTCTCTCTGCCACCTTCCCCAGAATCGACTGTGTGCCTCCAGACAGCTGAGGCTCGGGCCTGTACCTCTGGGCAGTCTGTCTGCTCCTTAAGACAGGGAGCTCCCTCCGTACAGGGCTCTGTGTCAGTCATCAGAGCACTCAGCAACTTGACTGACTAGCTCAGTGCTGAATGAATGATGCAGACGGGCTAGCCATGACACACCATGGCTGCCAACCTTGCTGGTTCACACAACACGTCCACAGGCCTTACCTCAGCCCGATTCTACAGGTGCAGGCATGAAGCCCCTGAAGCACTATGTGAATTCCCAAATCCATCCAGGTGGTGAAATGGCAGGGGTAGGACCTCAATTCTGTGCTTTTTCCAGAAAAAAACCCAGGTGGTTGTTATTACATTCTTTTCTAACACAGTGATTTCTACAAGAAATCCATGTCACTCTCTAGGGTATGTCTTTTAAACATAAAAAAAAAAAGTATACTGGATTTCATATTTCTTCTGATGGCCGGAAACAAGAAAGAAATCGCAGTTAATAACATGCATTATGCACTACGGATGTTCCCCTTACTGAAATGTAGCTCCCCAGGCAGGGCCCTTCTCCACTGTACCTCTGCAGCCTCCCTGGTGTCTGTCGTACTGACTCGGACACGGGAGAGGTCTGAGTATCAGCAGAGGCTCAGAACCCACCCGTGTAATAAGTGATTGCCAACTGTGACCGAGGCTGTCTGCAAGACATCAGCCCCAACATTCGACTCCTGGGTGCAAGCACAAGTTCCAAGTTCTAAATGTCATGGTAATGTCAAGTGGCTCCAGCGTTCAGTCGTGGTTCTGGGTCAGCCCCTTCTGTCCTGCAGACCCGCCCTGTCCCCAGATCCCAGGTGGCGCACCCCTAGTCGAGGTTAACAAGAGTGAGGAGAGGAGGCCACCCAGAATGGCACTCAGCGGTGGATGCAGGCGCGGATGCAGGCGCGGAAACAGGTCTGGCTCCAGGAGTCTGAAAACAGAAAGATAAAGATCTTTTCCCTGGGGCAGCAGGTGGCCTGGAGGT